CGTGCTGGCTAGGCTGGATCCCCTGGTTGTCCCACACATGCCTTGTGAGCGCTCTCAAGATGAACCGCTCCATCATCTTCCCCGGCACCGAGGTCAGGCTCACAGGCCTGTAGCCGCGGATCCACCTCTGCCAGCTCTCTCAGCACACAGAAGACTTCAGCCTGAGCTGATGGGGAAAGTAAAGGCATTTTGGATCATTATTTTCCGTTAAAGGAGGTTTTTCTGTGACTGCCTGTATGGGTTTTGTGCCCCCAGGTGCTTCCTGGAAGGATTTTTTCTTGATGGTTTTGCTTGTTAAATAATTTTTCCCATTTCTCCCAACCAGTGCCAGCCCAGCCTGGGGCATGCTGCTGTGGTACTTGCCCCATGGGTGATATTGGGGTTTTATGGCTTTCCTGGACCAGTTTGGGGTCAATGGTCTTCTCCATACCGGCACAGCCTGCACCCAAGCGCGGGGCACCTATCTGTGGCGAGGGAAGGGTTGGGGACCGTCCTGCTGCCCTGCCTGGAGGACCGAGCTGGTGGAGCCCATCCACCGGAGACCTCCTTCCTGACCACCGGCTCTTCGGGTGGGATTTGTGCCGGGGCAGCTTGCTGCTCTGCAAAATACCCCAAGGTGATCTCTTCGCCCTTCCGCCATCTGGCCAAGTGCTCGGTCCAGGAGCCGGCTGCCTCCAGTAGGAACCACCGCTGCGTTTCAGTTAAGCCGAAGCTCCTTGCGTGTGTGCAGTGAGAAAAGGAGCCGAGTCCTCTCATACTATTCTTACTCATCCTTTCTTTTTTACGCCTCTGCTGAGCTCTTCCCTTCCGTGAACTGCTGATTATTGGGAAATGGCTTGGGTTTTTTTTTTTCTTTTTTTCCCCTCAACCAGATGCTTTCTGAGCAGGAAGGAGCAGCCTAGCTGCTTAGGCTGCCTAGGTTTTAGGCTTTTTATCATTAGAAATAATTTATTGGCAACAAAACTCATGGAGGTGTTGGAGCTTGGCTCCACTGAAAATCGGTGGGATGTAAGTCCACCCTTTATATCCTTGTGGCACTCAAATTTGGTTTAAAACAGCGGAGGAATTCCTGTTTCATGCTGTCGCCTCTGCTCTCCTCCAAAAACCAGAAAAAGCAACAAAAACTTGAAGAAAGCAATAGGAAAAAAAAACCTTCTCCCATTCTAAAGCTGCACAGGCCAAGCACCGACGGAGGTTAATAATTCATTCCACTAAAAACACAAAAACAACCAAGCTTTTCTCACCCCTTTCCAGCAGCGGAACAAGCGAGCGGTGTTTTTCCCGCGCTCCCCATCCCCGGCTCTCCGCTGAGCGCGGGAGGCTGCGCTCCCCGTTCCATCCCCACCCGGGGGAACACCCACAGGAGGGGGGGACCATCCCCATCCCCGAGCACTCGCCGTGGGGACGGCGTTGAACAGGAGCAAACTGAAGTCCAGATCACCTCCCCGAGCGCTCAGGCTGAGAACAAGGATTGGGCTTTTCCTCCGTGAGTTTTTAAAGACCACCCATACTCCTCCTCGCTGTAGATCCCATGCAGCCCAAAGCAGGGGTACGGGTTAATCCCAGAATATTTGGGGCTTTCCTGCACTGGTGGGCATCGTGGCCGCGAGCACCGGTGCACGCCGGCTCTCTGGGCGAGCTTCGTGCTGGGTTCCAGCCCCATGGCACCGGGATCGAGCCGCAGCGGTTGGCATGCTGCAGCGTGGCAGGGAGCGGCTGCCTGCCTCCACCCCCGCTGCGGTGGCAGGGTTTGAAGACTCTGTACAGCCCCAGGAAGCTGTTACCATACGTGAAACGATTTTCTTGCTGATCATTTCCTCTTCTTTTGGGCTCAGGTAAAGGACCCATGGCAGGATGATGCGGTTCTGGTACAAATTATAAATCGATGCTCTGCTTCCTTCTGCAGGTCTCTTGGGCTGTCTCCAGTGAAGCATTCAGCAGCACGACTCAGTGCTTTGAATACTTTCCACTCAAGAAAAAAAAAAAAAAGAGTCATTCAGCCAAAAACAGGAAACACATGGCCCAGGGCAGCGTCTCTGATTTGAGTACACCTGTTCTTATAATGAGCCTGGCAGCAGATATTAACTCCACTGCAGCAGAGGCTCTGTGAGTGGAGGCATGGGCTGCAGCGTGTGTCTCTGGCTGCTGATCTCTCTCGGCCGTGTTTGGGGTATGTATGTTTTCCTCTCCGTGAAATACTCCGTTTGGATTGTTTGGGGATTTTTGTCAGACGTTAAGATCTTTAGAAATTGTGAGCTGTGTGCCGGGCGGATGGGCAGATCGAGTGTAAATATTCATACAGAAGATAAATGGCTCGCAACTCCAAGCTGGATGCGTGGTGCATCCCTAATATGCTCCTACTAGTCAGGCTGAGGGAGGAGAGAATAAAAGATGATGAATGAACGAAGATGGTGATGGACAAAGTGTAGCTGCAATAGTGAAGCATTCTACCGTGTGTTTTAATGGGGCGTTAATAGCACTGAGCAAATAATTTAGTACCAGATGTGAATTGGGGTACTTGAGATGAAGGTCCTTGGTGGATTGTCTCGCTCTCTGTGATAGCGAGTGTCTCGGATCAAGAGGTGCCAGTGGGCTGGGAGATGGTAGCCAAGCAATAAAATGTATATAAGGCAAGCGGATAGGGACTGGCAGCGGGGCAATGCCTGTTTTCTGGGTGCCCGGAGAGCCCTGGCTGGCTGTGGACGGTGTCCTGGGAACGATGGTGTCCTGGGCGAGTCGAAATCCCTCCCCAGACCAGCTTGTCAGGGACTGAGGACACCCCGGATGCCTCAAGGCTCCTGGGTCCTCTCCTCTCAGCCTGCTGCTAGTTACGGAAGGATGTTGCAAAATCAGTTTCGGTGGCACTGAGCTTGTGCAAAAGCGCTCGGGTGAGTCAGGGCCCCTGAGCAGAGCAGAGCGAAGGGAGCTGTGACTAATCCTGACCTTCTTCTGGGTGCCAGCCCGATCTCTGTTCTGCTTCCCAGGGGGCACCGTGTGTCCCCGCAGCCCCACGAGCCCTCTGCTACCGCATCTGTGTAATTACCAGGTATAAAACGAAGGGCTCGGCCAGGAAACCAGAGACTTTGGCAGAGCTGGGGTTTCTCCTCGGCTCTGCTGGCTCACTGTTACTAGAATACCTGCCTTTAAAATCCCCCCGGGGTTTTCTGCCTAGCCAGCACACTGAAAGTCCCAGGAGCCCAATACCTGATGTGAGGGTTGCTCCGGATCTAGCGCTGTGCCGGTGCAGGTCGCTTGCCTTCCTCCAGTCCCTCCATCCGTGCTGAAGCCCGGATGGTTTCAGACCTTTTTACATCCCTCCTCCTGCAGCCTTGCTCCAGCCGAGTCGTCTTGCCCGCAAAGGAGATGCTCCTCGCCGGGGCAGAGGGTTTTTCTAACGTGATGTCAAAAGGGCTTTTCCATTTGGTAATTAATGAGGAGCCTAACCGCTGCATGTCAAAAATACACGTTGCTGAGAAAATACAGCATCCGCCTGCGTGCCGGGCTTTACAGTAACTGTATCGGCAAAAAAATGTATGAGGCACTGGGTCAGCCGGACCGTGGGGTTTCTGCGGGATGACGGCCATGTCCGCATGGCTGCTTCAACGCAGGGGAGATGCAGTCCACAGGGACAGCTCAGAAACTGCTGTGTTTCATGCCACAGAGAGGGCGGGGGAAAAATAAGCGATGGCACTCACTTGGGATGGCAGCGGGGAGAGTGTTTGCTCTGTGGTTTTTACTGGAACCATACGCGCCGCCAGAGAGGCGGATACTGGGCTTATCTGGGCCTCCCCAGACCTGTTCTTCTGAGGCAGCTCCCCCTCTTTTCTTTTCCCCTCTGGGGCAAAGCCTCGCCCCGATGGAAAGAAGTCGGTAGGAAAAGTGGGGGATGACACAGCGGGGGTCCCTTCCACGCTGCCGGCGGCTGGCAGAAGCAGTGAGCTGGCACCTCTCCCCACGCTGTTTCCTACAAAAACAAACTTGTTTGCCCAGGGGTGAGGGCAAATATGAATCACTGCCTTGCAGCAAAAGACTGGAAAGGGTCTGGGGGAGAAGATCCTCCCGCGTGCTCTCCAGGAAATCCAGGCGGTTGAGATGCTTTGGGACGCGTGGGAGATGCTTGCACCCCTCTTCTTTAAGAGCACTTTTCTGTGGCCACCAAGAAACAGACCTGGGACCACCTCAGCCAGGAGAAGGGCAACCTGGGATTTACACCTGAGCCCACCTCCAGGAGGCTGCACTTCCTGCAATTTCTACAAGAAAAGAAGGTTTCTGGAGCTGAGGCGCTTGGGAGAGCTGGGTGCCATGATGTGCACCCAACTGCAGGCTTTGGCCAAGAACCACCGAGCATCGTTTCCCTCTGGACTGCCCTGGTGTCACTGGGACTTCTCCACGCTGGTCCCACCGCTGCCAGCACCCTTCTCCCAGGACCAGCATCCCCACCAGACTGGGACCGCAAGTGCCTTCCCCTGCTTGAGGCAGCCCGGCTCCATGGGGTGATGTTTCGCTGTGCTGGCTGGATGTCATTGTGCCAACAGAAAGCCCAGAGCCTTAAATCAGGATTCGGCCATCACGCACAGTGGTGTCTGACGCTGGAGAACGTTGAGGCTGATGCACATGAAGACTCTCTCGCCTCGCTCCGGGAAGGCTTGGGTGGGGAGGAAGAGCAGAGGAAGGCAATGCTTCCCCTCCAGCTCCTGAGCTGAGCCCTCGACCTTCGGGGACGAGGATGTGGGGCTGAGGGCTGGGGGTCACTCTTTTGGTTCTGGGGATGGTCCTGTGGGGTGGGTGTGGGGCAAAGCTCACACCGAGCCCTGATGTACAGCGCAACTTGTGCTCCCACCTGCCGACAATCGCTGGTGCAGGATGTGGTGGATAACCCAGAGCTTGAAAACGTGATTATCTAATCTGTTCAATTTTTGACCGATTTATCTCATGCAACTCAAGCCGTCCCCAATCTGTGGATTACGAGGGTGGGTCCAACACCATCACCGGCTACCGCAGCTCCGCGGGCATCTGCCCTCCTCCAGCAGAGCTGGGATGGGGGGGGACGGTCGCTCTGAGCCCCCCATGCCTCCCTGTCTGCCTCAGCCCTTCTCTCCACTCTCCTCCCAGGCATGGGCCGCGGGGCGAGGGAGACGGTGCTGGGCACCTTGGGGAAGGCAACGATATTGCAGATCCCCCCCGAACTCCAGGACCTCACCCGGCGCTTTGGGGAGGCCGTGTGGAAGCGGGACACGGAGGACCCACAGAGGAAGCTCGTCCTGCTCAAGTACTTGGATGGCAACTACACCAACTACATGCAGGAACGGACTCGCTTCCACAAGTCGAGCTTCTCCCTGGAGATCCTGAACACCAGCCGGCAGGAAAGGCAGCTCTACGAGTTCATTGTCAGCAAGGGGCCAGAGGAGAAAGTCTGGCAGATCCAGCTGGAGGTGTATGGTGAGACATGCTGCTTTGGGAGGACTGTGCTGGATGCTCTCAGCCTCTTGCGGTGCTGGGAGCAGGTCTGGGAGGTGGGTGGTGGTCAGGGTGGGTGGGAGATGCCCACCCTGATGTCAAGGTGCTGCAGTGAGTCCAGGACCCTCTTGCAGCCCCATCTGGGTACCCCCAGGAGCCTTTGGGTGCGTGCAGACCATGTCCCTCTAATGCCGTTTGCAGCGGGTCTGGGGCCAGACTGGTTCCTCTCCATCTCCTGGGGATTTAGGAGAGGCCAGCAGGATTTCCCAGGCAGGGGCCAAGGCAACGTTTGCATCCTTCCCCAGACACAAACCTTTGCCCCCTCCCTCCCTCCCTCCAGAGCCAGTGTCCGATCCCAGCATCCAGATCCTCGGCTGGGCGCTGGTCAACGACAGCTGCACCATCACCCTCAACTGCACAGCGGAGCGAGGGGACAACGTCTCCTACAGCTGGGGCAGCTGGGACACCAGCACCTCGGGGCTCTGCTCCCACAACGGCAGCCTCCTGTACCTCTCCTACCCCCTGCAGAACACAAGCATCGCCTGCGCCTGCACGGCCAGCAACCCCATCAGCAGCCGGGTCGTCACCTTCAACTCCTCTGAGTGCAGCTATGAGCAAAGGGGTAAGTTCCCAGTTGCTGACCTGGCTCTCTCCAGCCTCCTGGTCCTGCTCTTGCTTTGCCAGGGGACTTTTTCACGCTGCTTTAGGCAGCCTCAGAGGAGCCTTTTGCAAGAAAAGCAGCTGCTGCATCACCTGCTCAGGGTTGCCCAGTCCTTCCTGTAAACGCCAGCCACATGTCCCACCTGCCTTCCTGGCCAGCCCGGCCACCGCACTCGCTGCGCCCCGGTGCTTGAGGCTCATTTTAAATGCATGAGACTCGTACGCCGGGTGGTTTGGGGAGGATAAAAACCTCGGTGACAACTTCCCCTTTGGAGGCTCTCGGGGCAAAAGTCACGCTCTCTCTCACTGGGATTTTCTAGCACTCCCTTGTGACGTGGGGGACTTTTGCTGGGGCTGTGTGGCCCGGTGGCTGCCCCTTACCCCAGGGATCCAGAGGTGAAGTCACACCTCTGCTGGGGTTCTCACAGTGACCTGTGCTGAGAAAATATCCCTGTGGGGAAAAATGATCGGGACTCTTCCTTAGGAAAGGGAGATGCTGAAATGAAATGCTCCAGGGGGGTTTTGGGCTTGTTTCCTCACCCCCTTGCACCGTGGGACACCCCTGCATGGTGTCACCGTTAGTGGTCCAGGAGCGGGGCCGCCCTGGGTGTCTTCCCGCAGTGGGAGCTCGGCTGGTGGCTGGAGCTGCAGAGCTCTGTCCCAGGGCCCTCTTCTCACGCACCTGCGATGCAAGGGCGTTGTACAAAGGGGCTGCCTCCCCACAGGCCTCTGTAAAGCCACCGGAGAAGTTTTTAGGGCTTTATCTGGCCCCGATCTGGCTCCCAGCACGTTTTTCACTGACTGTTGCAGTCTGGAGGAGATTAGAGAGAGCTCTGCTCAAGAGAAGCATTTCCTGCCCCTTGTTTCCTGTTCTACCAACATCACTGGCCCAAAATTAGGTGACGAGATGAAGAAAGATTTTTAGCAGCCCATTCTGCTCAGCACTGGGTGAACCTGGGCCCCAGGGCTGGCGGCTGACCCCCTCCCCTCCCTTCTCTGCCCTCCATCCCAGGCAACGCCGGGCAGAGGACGGAGCATCTCGTGCTGCTGGTGGTGGTGCCCATTGTCGCAGTAATTATAATCACTGGGGTCTTCACGGCTGCCCATTTGGCCATGCCCATCGGTGAGTGCCGTGAGGGAGGGGTGCTGGGGCGGTTGATGGTCTGTGGGTGGAGTGAGCCTTGGGGGGGGGGCGGGCAGAAGCTGCCCCCAGCCAGCCCCAGCGAATGGACCAAAGGGCTGATCCCTGCGGGCACCTCGTCTTGGGAGTACCCTGGCCCTTGGGAAGGAGCAAAATGTGTTTCTCTTGGAAGCACAGAGTAAAAGGCAGGAAGGAAACCAGCTTAAAAAAAAAAAAAAAAAGAAAAAAAAAAAGAGAAGTGTACCTGCACGTGATCCCCAACGCTTTACCAGGATGATGGAGCTTCTGAGATCGTATTGCACGGTCTCAAGGGGAACTGAATGATCCCAGCACAAATTTGAGAGCGCATCATCTCTCTGAGTGCCTCAGCTGGGCTGTGTCCCCCCTTCCCATTCCTCGCGTAGCGGCAAATTTACAAAGCTGACCCGTGGCAGCCAGAAATCGTCTGACCACGGCTGGGCAGCTGCAGCGATAGGGATGCAGTTGGGTCCAGCCAGTGGGCACCACGCCAGGGACGGATCCAGCATGGGCTCAACCTTGCCGTGCCTTGGGCCACAGGAGCAGGATGTGGCTTGCAAAACGCTGGGGTTCCCCCCGGTCCCTGCTCCCCTCACAGCTCAGTGACTTGCTTATCCCCCCGCAGCCAAGCAGGAGCACTTGCCGCTCGCTGAGGACAGCGCGGTGCACACCATCTACTCCCAAGTGCAGCGGGTGGAGGTGAGCCACGACCAGCACGACCCCAGCCAGCCTCGGCGCACGGGGAAAAAATGCTCCTTCAGCGATGGAAATGCTCCTTTAGCGATGGGACCCCGAGCGCTGCAGCCGGCAGGGAGCACGGGCATGACCCTGCTGGGGTTTCTTGGGTGGGGGTCTCAGATGGTGGCAGCCTGGCTTTGGGCAGCAGCGAAGGCAGCAGCACCCAAAGCCCTGGGTCGTTGCTGGGTGCCTCCTCGCTGGTCTGCGGCACCCTCTGTGATGGGCTTTGACCGCTGGGTGTCAACACAGCCCCGCGGCTGGTGAAGAGGAGGGTGAAATTGTGGCTGGGGGGGACTGGGTTGGCCGTGGGCTCCCCAGGGTCACTCATCCCTGCTGTTCCAGGAGTCAGCCTGGCTGCCATTAACTTGGGAGTCTCTGGGAATAAGGTTGGGTGCTGCAGCTTCCCCAGCCCCCAGCATCCCAGGGCGGCTTTGGGGACAGACTGTGTCATTTTTTCCCCCCTCCCCGAGTCCTGCTCAGCGCAAACTGGGGAGGAAATGGTGGGTCCATGTATGGTGGAGGGAGGGAAGGGCCCCTGCGGTGAGCTG